GTGGAGCGGATTTGTGGGCAGGCCCAGGCGCTGCCTGCAAGAGGAGGGAGGTGTTTGCTCCAGGCTGTCGGCAGCTGGGGTCCCTACGGAGATGCTCCCCACCAAATGCCCTTCTCCTCTCTTCTCCCATCCCACAGGATCCCTGCAAACGGCTCCTTCCAGCCCCTGTGCTTTTCCTCCCTGTCCTAGGATAACCTAGGACATCTCATACCTGTTGGCAGCTCTGTCCAGAGGATGAGCATCCCCGCCAGGAGGAGAGCAGCCACCAACTTCATGCTGCCGTGTCCCTGAGAGGTGCGAGCGTGGAGAGCTGGGGGATGCCAACATTTAAACCCTTGGGGAGGATGGGGGTAGGGAATGGGGCTGAGCACATGCCGTTTGTGCCTTTTTCCTCTGCTGTTGCATTGTGTTTCCTGGAAGCCTTTTGCACAAGATACAAACAGGATTGTTCAACTGCTCAAAAGAAGTTATTCCATTGCACAACTGTTCCCTGCATCTGCACCTGGGGCTGAGGGACAAGGCAGGAGGAGACGGTCCAGGGCATCGTCCCCCAAGCAGGCTGGAGGCAGCAGTGCTGCTCGCTCGTGGCTGTGCTTCACCAGGAGAAACCATCGTGGTGACCATGCTGTGTTCCCTGCTGGGGTCCGTTACGTGGGTTTCCCTCGGTACCCTGCTTCCATGTGGGCCCACAAACCAAACCTACAGCACGATCCAGATCAGCAACAGCCCAGAGCATGGGGCTCTCCGTGTCTTGCCAGGGATGATCCTCTGAGGTTTTCCCAGAGGAAACCTGCCCCAGCCCCAAACCCTCCTGGCTCCTGCCCTGCTGGTGGTGTAAGCTAGCGTGGGGAAAGCAGCTTTGGCTCAGCCAAGGGTGAGCTTTCCCAAGCTCTGGGGGGAGGGTGGGGTGTCACCTGAACCCCAGCATCTTCTCTGGGTGCCCGCTGCCATGCAGGAAGCAGGTTGGTGCTGGAAGAAAGTGTGTGGCCTCCCTGGGGTAGGAGCATCGGCTCCAATGAAGCCCCAGTGTTGGCCAAAGATCCCTGGCGTGACTGGGCCCTAACTCTTGACGGCTGTCGGGGTAAGGGGCTGTAGTCCTTGCTCAGGGGGCAAAGAGCTGGCCAGCCTTCAGGCCTCCATCTTCTCCCTCACAAGGAGATTGTACCCCCCCTCTGGGCAAAGCTGTTTTCTTTAGGTGCTCTTGGGCAATGGGAAATTACTCCATTTCCCACCAGTGGGGTCAATGTCCCCCTCCACTTGTTTAACAGGTTCCTGGAGCCTTCCCTTGGGATTTCTGGGGCTGGCAGGAGCCCAGGCTGTGCTGGAAACGGGCGCTGGGAATGTCCTGGGAGGGGAAGGCACCCCGCAGCCAAACACCCTGTGCTCCTGCAAAGGGCAGGCCAGGGCAACCCCTGATTTCGCAACGGGGCAGGGCAAGGAGCAGCAAAAGCCCAGGCATTGCCCCTACCATGAGCCCCCGCCACTGCTCTGGCCCAGCCCCTGGAGCCCCCTCTTTCCATCCAGGCCATGGTGGGCATCTCACCATGGCTTTCCCTGCTCACACTTCCCTTCTCGTGCCACCATGTGCCACGTTAACTGGACCTAACTTACTGGATATCTGTTAATTATTGTCCAGTTGCCTTAATGATTCTGTGGCTGTATTTAGCTCTTTGTAAAGTCATTGATTAAATAACCATGAGAGGATTTAGCCAGCCCAGATAGACTTTCTGTGCCATCCACTAACAGTTTAGCGCCTTCAATGAGAAATAGAAGCACTGGATTAATTTTTAAGCAATCCTTTGGTGTTCAGCTGCTGCCAGGGCTGGAGAGGACAGTGCTGTGCTCCTGGCTGGTGCCGGGATGTGGCCGAGGTGGTGCTTGGGGCTGAACCTCCAAAAGAGGAGAAAACACCAAGGAGCAAGGCTTTGATTCAGCTGCAGAGAAGCTGGGGGGGCAGGGGGGCAGAAATCCATCTGAAGGACTTCTGATAGTGCTTTATCCGTAGCAGGTCCCTCAGGGAACCGTCTAACATCTGCTTCTATCGCAAACTCCCCGCCGCAGCCCCAGAGCCATCCCCAGCCCACCCCGCTCACGCTGCAGCCCCAGTGTTGCGTTCTGCCGCGTGTGCAGCACCCATGGCCCCAGGGTCCCCCAGAGCCATCCCCAGCCCACCCCGCTCACGCTCTCCTCCCTGCAGAGCCCATTGTAAGCCTCCTCCCTGGCAGCAAGGTCTGAGCTGTGCAACGCCGGGGATGCTGCCGGTCGACGCTGCAATTTCCCAGCCAGGTGTATTGGGTTTGTGTGGCAAAGTCTTGGTAGTGGGGACCTACAGGGGTGGCTTCTGTGAGAAGCTGCTAGAAGTTTTCCCAGTGTCCACCACTGGCCAAGGCCAAGCCAACCAGAGATGGTGGAAGCGCCTCTGTGATAACATATTTAAGAAGGAAAAAAACCAGTTGTGTCTCAGTAGCCGGAGAGAGAAGAGAAGTGAGAGGATGCGAGCGAAAACAGCCCTGCAGACACCAAGGTCAGTGAAGAAGGAGG